CCCGTGTCCCCTGCATCGGCAGGCGGACTCTCAACCACTGCGCCACCAGGGAAGCCCTGAATCAAATTAATTTTGCCTCCAAGACTTTTTGAGCATTGTTATCATGACTCTTGAGACCTTATAAAGAGGGTCCCAAACCAGTATTCAGTAGAAACCACGGCTGTTTCAATGACCATGGACTTGGCATGGAGCATAGGATACTAGGAGAAATGCTTGGCTGGTTTGAGTGCCTGACCTTTTCCCTCCAAACCAAGTGTCTATGACAAGGCCACATAACAGAGGACAGTCCTCTGAGTGACTTAGTCAAAGGAAGTAAGAAGTGAAGCTGAACACTTCTGACATTTAAATTGTCATGGAGACAGAGTGCTTCAAGGCAGCCTGAACCTCCCTGCATTTTGCCATTGCTTTAAATAATTCAAATTGAAACCCCCTAGCTGCGGAATAATGTTTCTTTTCTGTTTCTGATGGATTTTTTTTTCCCCTTCCGGAGGGAGTTGAGGCGGTCTGGGAGGATAGCTATGGCAACACCTTTAGGTTACGGAGGCTTAGCCCTGGGAGGATCACAGAAGAGGCCAATGAGAAATCTCTGATCTGAGGTCATTTCAGATAGATGTTCTCCAGGGAAGACGGTTCCGCAGTCCGCCTGGTGACACAACCAGTATATGCCAAAGTCTAGAAGCTTAAGTCTATCTGTATCGTCATGGCATTATAGGAAAGGGGGCCCCTCCTTTTTGCAGTGGGGTTCCAGACCTTTTGTGTATCTTAGTGGAACAGAATGAACAACATGATCACTACGGGCTTTTGGAGAAATAGTGCAGTAAAATGACCTCATATGGTTTGAGACCTCCAGCTGGAAGGAGCAGAACTCGGCAGCTTCAGCAGGCATGGAAAGCTAGAGCACAGCGGAACGGGGCTTTACAGTGTGCAACCACACAAGGCCATGCCCGCCAAGCTGAGGAGCTTGGCGGTCACACCTTACTTTTCTGGTCATGCCCTCATACGGTCCCGGGGAGGCTGCTAGCTATGGGTTAAGAGTAAAACTCTCTTTGATTTATGACCTGAGTCTGGACTGAACCTAGAGAAGGCATTTGGAATAAAAGATAAATTTCTCTCCCAGGCATCCGATATATCGTTTTGTGATTCTGTGGATGGGAGGTTGGGATGGGGGCGTGATCATCAAGACGAGCTTGCCATCTTTCATTAGGCTCTTTCGGCTGACTGCAGAGAGGAGACCATTTGTCAGGCGAAAATTGAGACAGGAAGCAGGTATCAAGAAAGAAGACGTGTCGCACACATCTTGTCCTCTGCAAATAAAACACCTAGAAACTCTGCAAACCACTGGCTTGCTGGAGACCACATGTAAACCTCAGTTCACTTTAGTTCACATTTCTGGCTTGTGGGAGAGCTTCTCAACAGGCAAACAGATGCTTTTAAAGACTGGGGCTTAAAATATTTTTTTGTCTTCCAGATGGCATTTCTGCCTTTTTGCCCAGAATAAGGGGTCTTTGCTCTGGGCTCTGGGAAGTGGGGAGGGTACCACCCGGCTCACAGATAGCTCCTTTTCTCCTGAGCAAATGGAAGGACAGGTCCGAACAGAAGAGGAAAAGGCAGAGAAATGACCAGATCCTTTGAGGCTAATTTCTCCCACCAGTGGGATACAGATTCAGGGAGTCAGGATGCAAGCAGGCAGAACCCAAGTGTTTGTTCTTTAAGGAAATGTTCCCTATTTTTGTGTGCCTTGGCAAACTCAGGGTGGAATGCAAGGGTTGCCATGGCAACATCCTTTTTTTTTTTTTTTTTAAACACAGATAGGTCATGTGGGACCCACGCACATTCTGGAAGCCACGGTTAATAGTTCCCATGCTAGGTCCTGTTTGGGGGCTCTGGGAGTGATGAGAGACAGCTTCTTTGGGGGTCAAAGGGTCAGGGTCTGCACCCCCTGTCCCCCAAGCAAAGTGCCTCCCTGATCATCACTCACGTGGTCAGGGGTGGAGGCAAGAATGAGCCACGCTCGGTTTGCCAGTCTCTCAGCCACCCCATAATAGACTCTTAAGTCTATTTGCTGGGAGGACAGAGTGAGCGTTGGGTTTCTCCCGCTCAGTTCCTGCAAAGGTCACTTCCAGCCAGGGCCACATGGCACACCGTGGACATGGGGGACCAGGACTTCTAGAGTCTTCATCCGTGAGCACAGTAACTCCCGTGGGGAAGGCACTGGCTGGCCTGGGGCCCTGGAGTAACACTGGTGTGGACAGAACTTGGGGGTGGGGCGGTGGGAAGTCAGCACTTTCAGCCCAACACCGTTGACAGACCGTCCAGGCGAAGCTGCCAAGCTACAGGATCTTGGTGCCCAGAGTCTCCGGGGTGCCGTTAGCTCTGGGATGTTCCCACACACTCAGCTCCTGGTGCCATGTGTGAGGTTACCACGGCAGGAGGTTCACTTCTAGCCCATCAAAGAGAATTCTATGGCTTCTTTCTCACCCTCTCTCCCTAGCAACACCCACGAGGGATGCCTTCTCCTGGGTAGGATGGACTCGGTTCCACGGACTCACTGGGAGAGAGGAAAATGGTCCTTTAGGGAGAGGATGCGAAGGACTTGGTGGGGAACAGGCTGTTGGTGTCTCTCAGGTTGCCGTTTAATTCACACCCTTGCACAGTGGCTAATTGCTCTTCCAATGAAGTCTAACCCTCACATCCTTCAAGGTCCCTGCTCCCCAGTAGGAGGCAGAAGAACCTGTAGCCTTTAAAGAAGTACTCATTTTTTTTGCCCTGAAGTCCAGCACTGCCCTCTCACAGGGCAGGGTCCTTTAAGAATCATGCCTGGGGTCTCTATCCAGTCTACTTGGGGTCTCTCACCCCGCTCCCCAGGAGGACATGGCCAAGTCATTCACGGGGTCCCTCCCACCTAAAGAGAGAGAGCAAACTGCTCTGGGCAGAAACTAATGATAAACTTGTCCTATGTGTCCGTATTCTGCATTTGGACCTGTTCTCGTTCTGAAGCCTGGTCCTGAGGGACCGAGGTGAGTCTGGTGAGAGGGGAGAGAGGAGAGATAGACAGACGTGAAGTGTCTAGCGGGGCAGGGCAGGCTACAGGGACAGGCAGGCCATTGCCTTACTTGGCCTGGATGTGTGGGACCCCAGGCATTTTCACAGAGGGACTTGTAACCTCCCAGGTTCCCGGGAGCTTACACCTGCTCCCTCCTCCATACTACGGCTCAAACCCTAGTTTTATTTGTGCTCATCATGGATATTTGCAGTGGGGAGGTTTCTAGAGTTGCTCCCAGGCTGTTGCCCAAAGTGCTTGCAGAGGTGATTTGGAAGAAGACCCCAAACTGAGACCTTGGATGCTCCAAGTCTGAGAAGATCAGAGGGAGAGAGCAGAGAGAGAGGGGAGGCTTGAGGAGGGATTCATAAACACACACCGCACCCCAAAACCACCCGGCTGCAGCAAGAGAGGAAAAATTCTGGCACCTCCATAGTGAATGAAAAGGGAAAAGGGAGAGGGGAATAGCTTGTAGCTTTAAGATGCAATGGAAAGAAAGAAGAGTAAGACAACTCCAATCACAGAAATAAAGACCTGAGCTTGGAAACGTACAGAGGGAAGAATTACAGCGAAAGGTTATTGGCTAATCAGACAATGCAAGCTTGAATGAATAGCAGCGGTGGATACGGCATCTGGGAAAAGTCAGGAAATTGCAAACTTGAAATGGGGTTGGCTTCAGTTCCCTTCCCCAACAGAAGTATTTCACCTGTCGAGTTGGCTAAGCTCATTAACATCTTTTTGTTTTCTTGTGAAAATGAGTCAGTTGCAGAATCTGACTGCCTGAAGATGTTACGTAAAATACAGTGGTTTGATCTTTCCAGCTTTCCGTTTGGGTTGGTGTTTCTCTTTCTATCTGGGAAGACAGACTAAGAAAGCAAATTGGAAGATGAGAGAAAGGTGAGATGCACAAGGACCTTAACTTGCAGTGGTCTCCCAGCATGGAGATGTGTTTGGACTCCATCACTCTGGACCACTGGGGCGTGGCTTGCAATACCTCCTCACCACCAGCCTATGTCCCTCTCCATCCCCAAACTACCCACCCCAGGGAGGCAGGGATGTGTGTCAGAGGACAAGCTTCTATCAGCAGTAAAGCAATTAGGGACGATGGATGTCACACATGAAGAAACCCAATATATACGTCTGTCTGTGTGTCTACGTGATAGAGATGCCCACGGTTATGCTTCTTTTTTTTGTCTAAATGGCAGCACAGACGGCAAAGCTGGGAGAAAGGCTCTCTGCAGATTCCAAAATGCTGGTGCGCGATGGGCTCTAGGAACAGAAAGCCAAGTGCCGACGGAAACCGAGAGCTCCCCAACTCTGCCAACAAGAGTCCTGTAGAAAAGGCAGTAGAACAGAAGCGAAGGGGGTGCAACTTGCAGACCGCTGGGCGCTGCACCCCATTCGATGGCTTTCCCCTCATACCTTGCCGGGGGGCCTCCACTAGGTTGGGGAAGGAAGCCAGGGTAGGACGGGAAGCCCCCACTTCTGCAGCAACTCAGAAGTCAGCTTCTTGGCACTGAGGGTTGCCCTGGGGTGGGGGAGGGAGGGAGTCTCCAGTTGACCCCTGGGTTGAAAGAACGGGGCGCGGAGGTGATTGCGTGTTCCGCCTCTCTCTTGCTGCCTTACACCGCCAACCTGGATGGCCATGGGAATTCCGAGATGAAGATGAAGTTTCTCTTTAGAGTTCCTACAGGCGGTCGAAGCGTTCACGGAACTCCTGGCTATTTATTGCATTAGGAAACAAGACCATTAAAGCATTGAAGACAGCCCTTTTGTGTACCTGCCAAGGGGATGAAGTGAGTTTGCAACAACACGGGTTGCACTGCAACCTTGGGTTCTTCGCTGGACTGTACCGCGTCTGCACCGTCCGTATCTGCTTTTTTTGTGGAGGAAGAGTCTGCCCGCGGGGCAAGCACATGCGCGTGAGCCAGGAACGCAGCTGCCGGGGAGGCCGCTACTCCATGCCGCTCCGGAGGATCTGGTTGGCCGCGATCAGCATGACGCTTATGATGAAGGCCATGGCGAAGGCGCAGATGAGGCTCTTCCGGACGCAGGTCTGTCTGTTCTGCTTCTGGGAATGCACTGGAGTGGGGTGTAGGGCAGAGGGCAAGGAGGCATGGAGGGAAGGCAGGGAGGGAAGAGAGAAATGACACAGTGAGACAGATTGCAGTTCTTCCTCAACAAGCCCAGGGACCGGTCCACAGGAAGAAGACCGGTCACATCAAGTAAAGCATCTCTAGGTCAGCTCTCAGAAGAGACTGGGCATCCCTGCTCCTGGCAAATGGTATGAAGTGGCCAAACTTCAAAAATCGTGCCAGATGTGATGTTCCAAGTGAGGTCTAGGCTTCCAGATGCAATAGCGCTACAGCGATTTCGGAGCGAGGAAATACATCACGTTTTCAGCGTGAGTCTCACCAAAGGCATCATCCAGGCCTGGCCATGTCGTTTCTGCAGAAAGCCAGCCTCCCGTGTTTGAGGCAGCTGTTACAGACAGAGCGAGGTTCGGATGCATCCCTACAGGATGGGCTGGAAGCCACTTACCTTTCCCAGGACTGTTCTTGGGTGGCTGCCAGTTGAAATGACTCTAAGGGACTTCTGGCATTATGGCAGATACGCGCAGCAGTGGTTCGAGCGCGGGGTCCCTGGGTAAGCTACGTCACAGCACCAAGAACTTATTAAAAAGGCAGATTCTCAGGCCGGCCCATGCTCCCCGCAGATCGTGGTGCCTGCTGAAATCTGGGTTGTGGAGACCACGTGAGCTGTGGATAGGACCCGCGTGAAGCAAGGAGGTGCAGAATCCTCTCAGGCTTTTCGGAGGCAGGGTGTCCCTGCCCCCAGATCCTGCGGCCCCAAGGGTCTGACCTTGGGTCCTGGGGTGGCGCTGTCTTAATCCTTTTGTTGGGCCAGGTCTTGAGTCACCATTTTTATAAGGCCCACGAGAAACCATTAGCTGGTCTCGATCAGAAGGCGTTAACTAGTGGGTTAGGAATATGGGCCAGAAATAGGGAAATGGAAATAACAAGAAAGGAAAGAACGGCTCTCTCCTCCAGGCATTGCTTCCCACGCCAGAATTTCTTTTCCTTCTCTTTCCTCTTTTTGTCTACACCTCCTTCCCTGTCCGTCCTGGTCCCGCAGTAAGCTTTACACACAGTTTACCACTTAGCTTGTGGAAGAAATCCCTTCCTGGGAGGCTGGCGGGAGGCGACCTACACCAGGGCTACTCGTTGGACCAGCTGCCTCGGCACCATCTGGGAGTCTGATGTCAATGCGAATTCCCCCACCCCATCATAGAATGACTGAATCCAAATCTATGGGGGTGGAGGCCAGGAGTGTGTATTTTTAATAAGCTCTGCAGGTGATTAGGGGATCTCCGGGCCCCAGCCCCAGGCTTTTTGGTTCAGTACATCTGGGTGGGGCCCAAGAATCTGATAGAGCTTGAGTTGCTGGGGGCAGGAGGGCTGTGTGTGTGTGTAGGTGTGTGTTAGGGACATCGGGGTGTGGGTACTGCAGAAACCCAAGGCCAGGACTGAAGAACATTTTCAGATTACCTTCCATTTTGCAAAGGGGTCCTTCTGCTAGACATTCTACCGTACCTTTGCAAACACCCACCAGCTGAGGGAAAGTGGTTTTTCTTTAGGCCAAATTGAGTGAAAAAAGAAAGAAAAGAAGTGTAATTTCCCTTAAAATTACTCTCTGCTGGAAAGAAGGCAAAAGAAAAGGTCAAGGTAGGGCCCACATGCCTTTAAAAAAACCTAAAAAAAACGTTCAAGTTCACGCCCCTCTCCCCCTTGACACTGAGTGGCTCCTCTAATGCCCTAGAAATAGCAGGGAAGAAGCAGGAAGTGGGTGATGTTTCCAAAGGCAAAGGAGCTTCCCTTGAGACAAGGCTCAGGGGGGCCTCTACAAATTACATCCACCGGAAAGTTTCTCCAGCAAGCCACACTTCACAGAGGCCCAATGCCCGGGGCACAGCTCCTGGCTCCCTCCCCAATACCTGTTGGTCATTTCTGCCTTAGTCTCTTAGGCCTTGTCTTGATATCTTTAATCCTTCTGGGTCCACTGGGTCCCTTGGTGATTGAAAGTATTTTGGGCTCAGTTCTCTACTACTTGCTCATCCTGTCTGGGTCTTAGAATCTTATAAGTTCTTACCTGGAGGAAGAAAATTTCCTCGGTGCAGAGACATGCCTGCCCCCAGAAGTGGGCAAATGTAAAAAGTTATATCAGCCTCAGGAAGGAAAAGGGAGGTGGTGTTTGGGAAGGAAAGGACCCAAAGCAGAAAATAAGGTGAGGATGTGGAAATGGCGTATCTAACACATTCTGAGGACTAATTTATTCCGGCAGCTCCTCAGTATAAAACTGCTTCTGAAGGCAGACATCTACCTTCCTATCTTGAGGGCTGGCGAAGGCTTAAGGAAAAGAAAAATTGTGTGATTGGGCTGAGGGAGAAATTTTTTGCTGAAGCCCTTCTTTGTGAAGGACACTCAGAAAACAAGGTTACAGGCAACAGGATTATCCCCCAGGAGAGTGGCTGCACCTTTGATCTAAAAATCCTTCAAAGCAGTAGGAGGGGAGAGATAAGGAAGGAGGAAAGGCCTGGGGACCTAATAGTTTGTACATGAGGTCATGCCAGTCTGGATCCAGACGTGAGTACTATAAGTAGAGTGCAGCTTCCAGCTCTCTCCTGGGTAGTTCTGAAACCCACCATCATTGGAGATTAGAGTCTTTAATTCAGATTCTGTGCAAGAATGAGAATTCTTTTTTATTTTTTTAATTAATTAATTCATTTATGTCTGGTTGCGTTGGGTCTTCATTGCTGCGCACAGGCTTTCTTTAGTTGCGACGAGCGGGTGGCTACTCTTCACTGTGGTACGCGGGCTTCTCATTGCGGTGGCTTCTCTTGTTGCAGAGCACGGGCTCTACGCACATGGGCTCAGTAGTTGTGGCGCACGGGCTTAGATGCTCCACGGCATGTGGGATCTTCCTGGACCAGGGCTTGAACCTGTGTCCCCTGCATTGGCAGGCGGATTCTTAACCACTATGCCACCAGGGAAGTCCCAGGATGAGAATTCTTTCACATCCAGTTCTGATGTAAGTTGTGTGGCAGAGTGAAGAAGCCAGACACCAGTCTTAATCGCAATCATCTTAGCCCACATTGTAGCTGTGTGAGCTGGGGCAAGCCAAGCTCCCTGGGCCTCAATTTCCCCGTCTATAAAATGTGGGTAAATAAGACCTACCTTGTGGTGAGGATTATGAACATAGGAAGGTACTTGAATGTTGTCTGTGCCCAGTGAATGCTAATTCCTATATGGAAACCTTGAAAAAATTCCCCTTTACTTACTGAGCACCCACCTCAGTGGGCAAGGTACGCCTATGTGCTTTATAGACGTCCTTGCAGAATTAATAGCGATAGTCCTTTGTGAATTGGGTGTGTGACCCTCATTTGGTAGGTGAGGGTTCTGAAGCTCCGAGAAGTAGAGTCCAAGGTCTTTCGGAAAATGGTGAAGGTGGGATTTGAACCCACGTCTGATTCTAATATCCAGGTTCAAAAGTTCTACACAAACTCTCTCCTGATCTTTTGTTTAGCGATAGAAAGTACAGCCAGAGGAAGATCCAAAAGAAATGTCCTTCAAACACTTGGTGTGGTCGACAGTATAACGCAGCACTAATTAATGTGTTTGTTGATAATAATTTAATGCCTGTCTTTGGCTATCATATATTTGCATTGCACTATATTTTTGTGTACTTATTCATTCTCAGTGTCTACACTTGGTTTCCCCAACAAGATGACAGGTCAGCCCAGGATGAACTGTGAGTTGGAGATATGGCTTCTTCTCTTCACTGCCACTTAGGAAGAGCCCTGGGCAAGAGGCTGAATTTCTCTGAGCCTCAGTTTCTCTCTCTGTAAAAGGAGCTAATGATAATTGTTCTGTTAATTTCAAAAATTATTTCAGAGATCAACAGGCTCATAAAAAAATCAAAAACTATTGTGCAACCCTGACTTGCTAGAGAAATGCAAGGTATCCTTCCTGTATCCCCTGAGGGCTGCAGAAAAGATCTGATGGTTTTTCTCCTGTTTCCTGCAGCCTCTAGCCCTGGGCTGAGACTACAGCAGATGCTCCCAAAACTTTGCTTTGGTCCCTTCCCTCAATTATTCATCCTGAACTGCAGCCAGACTCCTTCCTGGAGCAGTGCTTGGTATGCGTCATCACGCCCTGCAATCTCCCTGAAGGCCCCCCCTTGCTGGGGGAAGCAGTTCTATCCAGCTCCTAAGCTCAGCAGGTAGGCAGGACCGCAGATCACCTCCTATCCCCTTTGCCCCTCTGTCCCTAGACCACCCCTCCTCCCTTCCCCCTGCAACCTTTGTCTCAGCCAAGCAGCTATGCTCTCTACCTAAGACTCTGCAGCACTGTTCATACCTTTCCCTCTGTTAAGGGTGTCCACTTACCTTCCCTCTCATTTCTTCCAGGCCTAACCTAAACTTCACTTTCCTATGAGGCTTCTCCTGAACATCTATCGTGCTCTCAAAGGGCCTGATATTTTAATTTTTAAAAAAATCTAGCTCTTAATATTTATTTACTTTCAATTGAGAAAGAATCCACATACCATAACATTCACCCTTTTAGGGTGTACAATTCAGTGGTATTTAGTACATTCCCAAGGGTTGTGAAACCATCACCACCACCTAATTCTAGAAAGTTCTCATCACCCTAAAAAGAAACCCCATACACATTAGAAGGCACTCCTCATCGCCCTCCCTCCCCAGCCCCTGGTAATCATTAATCTACTTTCTGTCTCTATGGATTTGCCTATTCTGGGCATTTCATATACATGGCATCATACACTATGTGACCTTTTGTGTCTGGCTTCTTTCACTTAACATAATCTTTCCCAGGTTCATTCATGCTGTAGCATGTGTGGGTACTTCATCCCTCTTGGTGGCTGAATAATATTCCATTGAATGGACGTACCACATTCTGTTTACCCATTCACCAACTGATGGACATTTGGGTTGTTTCTACTTTTTTGGCTATTATAAATAATGCTGCTATGAACGTTCATGTACAAGTGTTTGTGTGGACGTG